AAAGCTTGTAAAGAGTTACCTTGACACCGGTTTAAAGCTTGTTTCCAAGCTTTTCCACCGTCTAGAATCCAAATATGAGCAAAAGAAGCAACCTTTACGATCCACTTGTGGATAAAATCGAAAATATGAAGTTTGTGTTTATGAAAATGAGAGTTATGAGGTATGTTTAGATGAAAATAGAGAGGAAATGAGAGGAAATTAAGTATTGTTTGTTTAGAAAGTGAAATAAGTGGTTGAAATTTCATAAAAACAAGCTTAAAGAGCTCATCAATGGTGGTTTTGGGTGGTTGCAAATATTGATGACAATGGCATTATGGTAAATAAGGAGAAATGTTTAGGGTGTAATAGGTTTTTTATAATTTTCGAAAATAAAATCAGATTTAAAAATAATGGCATTTTGGTAAATAGGTGGAAACATGAGGAGAGTGTTAGTTTTGTGTTTGACTTGAAATTTTAGGTTGGTTTTGCAAAAACCCCATAACTAAATGGTACATACCCCGTGCTTTGAAAACACAGATCAAAATCTAGTTATTAACTTAAAACTTATTGTTCCTATCCAAGAATTGAACGTCAAGATTTTTGAACAAATCTGCTTGCCCTTTATTCTCTTCTACAAAAGATATAACTAATAGTCTAGGATGAACAACAAAGAACCTATTAAGCATGAATATAAAAACCAAATCCTTTTACTGATATAATCTCTGAACATAAAATTTCAAAGAAGCAAAACAACTTTATCAAAGGGCAAGATAAACCAAAACAAAACAAAAAGGATGCAAGCAGGATCAGGTTCTTGAAACTGAGTCTACTTGATCTTCTTCTTAGGCCTCAACTGCAAAATAAGAACACAAATATTCAGATATTAGTTTATCAGAAACTGAATTAGATATAGAAAAAAATTAAAACAAAGCAAAACCAAACCTGGTTGCTGTGGCCACACTTCTTCTTCCTGCAGTTCACAGCCCTTGGGTGAAGACGAGCATAGCACCTAATCACAGATGTGACTTAACATTAGAAACAATAATACCACAAACATTTGTTTCATCACAAATAACACCAAAAAAAGTAAACAAAACATAGGCCGTATACTGAAAGATTCTATAAATGTATAAGAACACAAACCACAAATATTATTTAACACCAATCCAAAACCAATAACGTAACACTTATTAAAAATCTAATTAAATCAATTGACAAAATGTACCATTCAAGAAAATCATCTGGAAATATATGAAATTTTGACCAGCTGACAAAGTTTAGGAGAATGGAATATCAATATCGGGAACATTTATAACCTCGCACGCATTGTAACTTGCTAGAGAAGCTAAGTTTATTCCCTAATTTAAAACACTTAAAAAAATACATAATAAACTAATTCACTTACTTGCGGCAAATCATCTTGTCTTGGTTGTACTTACGAGCCAAAGCCATCAAAGAAGGCTCAATGATACCTCCCCTAAGCCTCAACACAAGATGAAGCGTTGACTCTGTAAAACAGACCACCATAACATGTTATGATTATTATTATTATTCAGACAAGACAGTAACTCTACAAAAATGGAAATAATATTTTGATAGAGTTGTAAACCTTTCTGGATGTTGTAGTCAGCTAAAGTACGGCCATCTTCGAGCTGTTTTCCGGCGAAGATCAACCGCTGCTGATCCGGAGGGATACCTTCTTTGTCTTGGATCTTGGCCTTGACATTGTCGATGGTGTCGGAGGACTCGACCTCGAGGGTGATGGTCTTGCCGGTTAGGGTTTTCACGAAGATCTGCATCTTTGCTGTTTTGTTCGTCTTCTTCTATCCGCGAGATGTAACTCTGGAGAAGGAGGCGGGTTTTATTGCCCTTTCATTTCCTAGGGTTTTGTTTATTATTGGGCTGGGCCCTTAAAGGCCCATAAAACTTATGAACAAAAAGCTTGTAAGGACTTGGATGGATTGTTAGGATTAGTTACGGCAGAATGGGTGTATTTGAGGGCATATAATGTTTGGCACTATGGTGGGAAAATACAATCATGTTGGTGTTTGGTTATAACACTGGAGTTTGAAGGTGATTATAACCCGTCCATCAACCATATCCTCAATACTAGTACTAACACATAATCTTCAATTATACATGTTAGATGTTGGAATTTATGCTCAAATTTTAAATGATCAAGTAACAAATTTGGTGATACTTTGGCTATTCATGCGGTTACATCTCAATCCCTCAATGAACATGCCTAATTGTAGTCCATATTCTCAATGAAATTAGTAACCACCAAATTTTTTGAATGTCTTATGGTGAAATAAAATCTCAGAGAGTTGACTTAACACTACAACAACGCATATATATATATATATATATATATATATATATATATATATATATATATATATATATATATATATATATATATATATATATATATATATATATATATATATATAATATAGTAAAACCAAATTCTTTTGTAATCTACCACAAAAATAAAACAGAGCGCTAAAAATATAGAGATAACTCCATAACGGATCCTCCAGAGCTAAGGCCAAAAAAGAACTCAAAAAAGAAAAATCAGTTACGAGCTACAGAAATGGTTTCTATAAACTGTGAACTCGGTAACACACATTGTCTTGGCTCCTTTACCTTGCATCACTGAGCAACATCTTGTGGAGCAAGCATAGCAGCATAAAGTGAGGACTCATCTTTGTCAGCTTTAACCTTCATCCCGCCAGCACAAGTTAAACTCTTTTTTTCTTGGACAATCACAAGTTAAACTCTCAAGTCGACAATTTATAAGAAAACACTACAGACACCCATTATAAAGGAAGTTAAACACAGTCAACAACATTGTGCATATCCAATCAAGAACAACGCCATTTTCATAAATATATACAGGGTTCCTTAAAGGTTAGAACCCTTGAAGAACAATGACTAATGACGCCCATTATAGAGAAACCTAATACCATACACTAACACTATTGCATCTAACCATGCTCTTAGCCTCTAACCAGAAGAAAAATGTTAGCCGTGCAGAGACTAAAAGAAATTCAATATCACATTCACTAGAGAGTGCAAGGGCCATACTAGAAGAAGAACAACAGATTCAGATATAGATAAATATTAGTATCAGTCACGTACTTCGGGGGAAGCTCAATAAACCTGTGGCAGTCTCTCTACTTTTAGCAAAAGTTTCATTGAGTCTTCTGTTTAAAGCTGATTATAGGAACACGTCTAATACTGATATTTTAACTTTCGATCACGACGCAGAAATGTGTCAATGGAAAGCAATCGTACTTTTTATATGTTGTTTCTTCATTAAGTATACAGAAGAAATGAAGAATAGAGATAAACCAATCAACGACTGAGACGAACAGAGTCTGATTCGTCAGATTCTGTGGCACAAATAAAATGACAAAATATATAAGAAAGACAAAAATATTTGACAGCTGTGGGATTTGAACCCACGCCCTTTCGGACCAGAGCCTAAATCTGGCGCCTTAGACCACTCGGCCAAACTGTCAGATGTTTTATAGTCTTGAGAACCTATTTAAGTACGTAATTCCGATTGTTGGTCGTCCATGTTACCCAATACCCACATTTTTCTATTCAAATTTTATAACTATTGTATTTAATCCCCCAAACAAATAATTTTGGCTTTAAACGGAAGAAGCAATACAGATGTCGATTGTTTATTAACGTTGGTGTTTATTTACGATACTAATGGTATATCAGTGTACCATTTTAGTAAAGCAAAATGGTTATTGTCCTTATTAGAATCCATATGTCGTTTGTAAGCAATAAACCTAAACGAACAAAAAAGAATTGGAGGCAGTGTACACATTTTACCATATAACTGTAGAAATATGCTTCCATTTTTGAAGTATAAAAATGTTTTTTAAGTTTTTCACATGGTATAGGTGAATGCAGCTATCTTCCATTTAAATTATCATGTTACTAGTGAGACTTGTGTCCATGGTAAATGTAACATGGACATAGCTAAAGATGATAAATTCAAAAGTCTAAAACAAATTATTGAGGGAAGAGAATCAAATATTTTACGAACACTACAAAATACTATGACAAAACTTTGAGACTAAAATCATCAAAACACTATTAAAAGGGGGAAAACAAGCTCTCTCAGGGTGTCCACGTCTGAATTAATAATCAACCAATAGGAGCCTGAGTTTCTGCCACGTCTGAAGCCAAGGTCTGTGATTTGGGCTTCGAATTCACTGGCCCGGAAACATTTACGTCAAAGACCCGTGTTTGTCTTGGGCTGCAGATTTCACAGGCCTGATATAGTAAAAAATTAAGAAACCCGTGAAGCTCATCCCACCGCTTAAATCTCTTCCCCTTTCGCGATTTGCAAACCCTTCCTCTTCCTTTACCTCTTCTTCGTTTCATCCGTTCCCAGATCTTCCACTACAAACAATCAATTCTCTCCCCACTCCTGTATACTCTTTAGTCCCATTAATGGATCCTCTTCGCTTTCTTTCTCTAAGATTCTATATAAATCTCTTGGTTGTTTTTTTTATTTTTCATCACAAGTTTTTCTATCCTCTCAACTGTTTATTACGATGAAGTTATCAACTGTTCATTGGTTGGTCCCATCAACTCCGGTTAACCCCGTCGCTAAAACTGGTGTCTCTCCCGACGATGTCATTTCAATGAAATCAAAAGGCGTTGCAAAGGTTTCCTTTAGTCCGATCAAACCAATCGGCAAAACCAGTGCTTATTCCGGCCTAAACATCAGCGTTAGGGGGAAATCGTCTGTCTCCTCATCCGCTAAGGGCAAAGCTATCGTCTCCGATAACGTAGGGGAGGTGATCGCCTTCAAAGAAGTCACACTGGGGCCCCATGAAGGCGAGTTACGGTTTCGGTTGATCCATTTTTGGGAGGCTTGGAATTCTCTAACAAAGGTTCTTATTGCATTCATCGATGAAGAGGTAAAAACGAAATTTCTTACAAGATTAGTTTAAATTTTTTTAAATTTAGTTTTTATCCAGTTTTGATTCAGTTAGTTTTTATTACTTATCATAACATGAGGCAGACAATATCAAGCTACAGTGGTCTTTTTGAGATTTAAATCTATGAAATTGCTGTAGTGTTTTGATTCTATTGGAATAGATGGTGGTTTGGTTGTTTTATCTGGCCCAGGGCGAACCGGAGGTGCTAAGTAAAGGAGATCAAGTGTGAACTGAAGGGAAGTTGTTGATTTGGCCACCTCCATTAAAAAATAAATAAAAAAGTGCGTCTGTAAAATTGGCTAATTGTTTTCTGATTACAAATTCTTTAGTAAACTATAATCAATTGTGTGGTAATAAGCTACTGTTACTTTGATAAAAAAAAAAAAACCTACTCTTACAAGTTTTGTCTACGGTGAGTCTTTTGGTTTTGCTCAAGTTCTATATTTCTAAATATTACCTATATCTTCTGGAAATCCTTCTATATTTTGTTCGTTTAGAATCATATGTAACGAAGGTAACCGAGGTGGAGACGAGTTCAAGTAATTCTGAAGCCTGGTAGATTCATGAAGCATACATACTACATAGTAGGTACGTCTACCAAAAATTTTTGATCAATTGTAGGTGGCATATTTTGATTGTTTCACAACAGTAGAGTTGGTTTATATCGATGTGTCCAAATGCAGAGACATCCCATGACTAGAGTTGCAATGTACATTACACAACCCTCACCTTACAATTTTGCTTTGCATGTTGTTCACGTGTGCTGTCTCTTGGTAATAGGTACCATGATGAGATCTGTGTCTATGATGATAGCGAGAAGGCCACTTTTGTGCTCCTTGGGGATGCTGGTCCTGAGCTAACAGGTAGTCAAGCAGCGGAGCTTATTGACAACTACTTCGAGGTTACTCATGCTCATCTTATATTTCATCTCCCAAACAATCTAAACTGACTTGATTATGTTTGATATGGTAGGCTAATGGGGACATGGGTGCTAACCATGAGATGTCATCTCCAAAATGTTTGGTGGGTACAATTGGCCAAACACACAAATTCAGGGTCAAAGTCTCCAGCTACAACTTTACAGTTCCGTCACATACCATAACTGTGACAGAGGTTGTCTGTCCTGCACTTCTGCCACCATTTGGAGTAGTAGCAGAAATCCAACCTTACGCAATTGATGAAACAGCACATGCTCCAGGAGTAATTCAATTCTGAAATTCTGCCATAGATGGAACCTGCAGCACAGGGTCTTCAGCTGAGCCAAGGCATCTATGAAGGAGAGTGACGTGCATGAGAAATCTAAGCGCACGAGACGTAACTAAACCAGACACTATCCAACAGTATAATCCATGATTGCTTGATAACACCATTATCTATCTCTATCTAAGCTATTTCGTTTTTCTAAGATTTTTCTTTGTTTTTTTTTTACCTTACACCTTCCTCTTGCTTTTTTTTTTTTTTTTTTTTTTTTTTTTTTTTTTTTCTTTTTTTTTTTTTTGGACAACCTCTTGCCTTTTTCATACAAACGTTTTCATAGGATTTCTCTTTGGTGTTATTGATAAAGAGATTTCCCTTTGTTATTTTGGCTTTTTGTCCCTAAAACTTTTTTTTTGTATTACAAATACATGCACTTAAATTAACATCACAATCGCTTCTTCATATTTAACATAATTAGTTTTATGATAAAAAAATATATCAATGTCTAAAAATTTAAAATTAAAAAAACACCAATGTCTACATCACTTCAGTGGAAGTTGAAATTGGTTAGATTAAAAAGTTTAGTTCAAAATATAACATAAAATTGTAACTACTGTCAACCTAAACTCCACCTTCAAAATTAAACATTCTCACTCTGCCATTCGATTATGCATTTAACTTCTAATTGGATTATCCATTGGGCCACATACATTACGAGAGCCAAATACTCACAATGATTAGCTACCATTACAAGTGCAAATGAGGTCAGACACATGAATAAGAAAAACAAAAACCGAGTCAGAAATACATTGCGGTGATTTGTTTTTACATATATATTTATGTCCATCGTTACAATAAATATAAAATTAAATAAAATACAAAAAACAATTGTACACCACACCATATAAACATAGGCAGAATTCAACAACAAAGAAAAAAAAACTACATTTGTTTATCTTTAGTATGTTAGTTGTGCTACTCATTTTATCTGGACTAGAACAATATTTTAAAACTATGTTATAATAATACAAAATATTTGTTAAAGAAAAAAATTAGAAATTCATATTCCAAATTTAAAGCAGCCAACAAAACTTAAATAGATAAATATTCATTAACAATTATTCAAGATAGAACTACTTAAGATTTTATAAAATTAAATTTATACTCGAACTCAAACATGAAAAAGAATATGTAAACTCATAAAAACAATTAACATAGTAGCAATAATGAGAAAAAAATTAAAATACATAATCCGCGCGTAGCGCGGAAAAAGAATCTAGTATATATAATGAGAGACTTTTTACCTCTCCCTAAAGGTGTCCACCTGTACATTTTAATGATTATGGACCCCACTTTTCGTCCGGTTTGTTTTGTTTTGGTCGTGGTGGTTTGACGTTGATTTTAGTTCTCCATAATGTCAAACTCTGCGTTTTGTGTTATCGTCGATTAGTGCTTATTGTTATCGCCTTTCCATATTCAACCTAGCCGTCTTCGTTTATCATCTGTAAACCTAATGATCTCTCCTCTCATCTCTTAACCTCCCCTTCAGTTCAGTGTATTTCTTTAAAGTCAGCAATAAACCCAGTCGACCTCTCCGATTCCTACACATCAAATAAATACATAAGGGCTGTGGAGAAGATGGATCTTCAGAACCACTGTCCGTTTATCTTCTTTATCAAGCGGTGAATGATTTTTCAGAGATGTCTTCCTCCGAGCCTTTGACGTTCTCCATCTCGGTATCTGTCCAATTCATTGTTGCTTCGCTGCTTCATTTTAGGACTCGAAAAATATCAAGAAGCATGGTGTATTCATGCGAATCACACTACTTCTTATCGGTGAGATGGTACTGCAACGACAAGCCTCTTTTCTAGATATTTATAAAAAAGTCGATGATCTAAATCTTCAAACTTTAGATGCAGGATTATGTGATACATGGATTCATTCCTAACCTTCCAGCCATCGTATCAACTCATTAGGTGTTGAACCAAAATTCCATCTTATGCTAATTTATCTGATTATACCATCTAGAACTTAAAAGGCTCAGTAGGATAAGCTTTCCCCTGTATCGATACCAAAAAAAGGATAAAATAAAAGGAAGTTGTCTCAATAGGAGAGCTAAACAAGTTCATCTCCAATTCTGAAGAGCTGGTAATATTAATGGTTCCAAGAAAATTTTAAATGTGTAAATTTACTGCCTTGGTGAAGACACATGAAGCTGATTAACTATCGCAGAGGTAAGTAAAGCTGTTTTTGTTAATCTCTCTATGTTTCAGTTGTGCTTATGGCTATTCATGATCTCTGTGTTTGCAGCTATAACTCTTGCGTTCCATGCATTGTATCTGGAAGTCATGTCAAAGTATTCAGTGACTGTTCCAAGAAAATGATACTGAAGTCTGAGAAGCTCTTCAGGGAGAAAGAAGTTTCAAGCAGAGGAGATGACACGATTGAGTTGGATCTTGAAGCAATGTACTCAAGTTTGGCTCTTGATATTGTAGGGCTTAGTGTGTTCAACTACGACTTTGTCTCTGTCTCAAGAGAGTCCCTTGTAATTAAGGTTTTTTTATTTCTTGGAATTGTCTATTAGCAAGCTGCGCTGGTCCCTTCTTGAATGTTTCTGTTATACATTGTGGGCGTTTTATAGAACTCTTCTCTGAGGCAGAGCATTGGTCTACTTTCTACTTCCTGTATTAGAACATTCCTTTAGCCAAATGGATAGTTCCAAGGCAAAGAAAGTTCCAAAACGATCTCAAGATTATAAACGATTGCCTTGATGGACTCATTCAAAACGCAAAAGAGACAAGACTGGTGTTTCACTACTTGCTACTCTCTTCATTCTACTGTTCAGTTTCTGACTTTGTTATCCTTATTTCTCTCAGGAAGCAGATGTAGAGAAGCTCCAGCAACGTGACTACTCGAATCTCAAGGTTCTGCTATCTTTTATCTCTTGCATCTTTACTAAAGGTTATGAAAGTGTTTTGATTTTGCTTTCTTGGTCGACATGCGCGTCGTTGATATTGATGACCGGCATGAAAGATTATATAACTTACTTTACAGCAATCTTATAATTATCTTCTGCTTTACAACCAACAGCCTCAAAGATATTCATTGTTCAACTAATTTATTCAAATTATATATATGATTGTCTACAAAATTATCCTATTATATATGTGATTTTCTACAGAATTCTCTAATCAAATACTTCAGTCCACCTACTCATTCCAATATAGACCGTCTTCTCTTACAAAAAGGGAGGATCTTAAGTTTTACTGGACTCGAAGTGTCTTGCTGTACTAAACTTAACAGATCATACCACCAGTTCATATGATTCTGCAATATGAGTTTCTTACTGTCATCAATCTCTGGAGTCGAGTACATAGTGGAGCAACAGCTTTCCCCGTACACTATAGCTTCACGGGCCTGTCCAATTTTTTTGCAGATTATTCTCCCAATATGTTTGAACAAAAAGAAAAATTCTCCATATGTTTGAAATTCCTCAACTGTAATCAAGATTTACAGAATGAGTTCGGTGCACATATTTATAAAGGATACTATCAAGTCCTCAAAACGTGTACTAATTTTTCAGATTACTTAATTACTACCATAATACTGAGTTCCTCATTTGCATATGCAAATATAGAATCAAAGGAAAACATGGATAAAGATAGAGAAACTGTATTTTTTACAAAATTGTAACAAATTTAAACATTTTATAGAGCATCAATTAAGTCAACGACCCCGCGCTTGCCCGGGGCTATGCCCCTAGTTATTCATAACTAACATGTGACATTAAATACGGTTATGTGACTAAATTTCTATGACACAAATTAGGAGTTGGTTTATCACAATATTACGATCCGTCGTCCAATTGTCGTCGAAACTAGCGATATAAGTGATGTAAAGAAGAGGTGAATGGTGACTTAGTAGTCTCCTCACACCTCAGGATCCTGTCACCGTATCTTCTTATATCTTACTTAGTAATCTCTTCCACGTGTTTATAATTGATGATACTTTTTTCTTATCAAACAATTGATGGATACTATATATCATAAACATATATAGTACCTTGGCATTTCAGAAAAGAATTTGGTCTTTGAAATCTTTAGTTTAGGCAAATAAATTTCATTAATTATAGCTCTCTTGTGAGCTGTACAAAACAAGATCAGCAAAAGCTTAATACATACTAAACATAAGTTTCTATTTAGTTTTAACCATTGTTTTTTTTTAAACTAGATTAATAAATGAGAATACTTGTTTCAGAACTATTGGAGTTTCTTATATTTCTTAACTAGGGTTGGCCCGTCCTACGGACGGGATATAATTTATTTGTAATCTAAATTATTGTTTGTAGGATTTTGTAGTTTGTGTTTCAGATTTGCATTCACAAAATATATATATGAGAATGTTTTTCTCTTAGAAAATTTTAGCCGATGAAGAATTATATGTAATAAAATATATTTTGTTTGTGAATTTTAGGAATTCTTTTATTCTATAATATAGGTAGATGGTTATGGAGTATCTGAAACACAAAAAAAAATGATGTAGATCTTCATAAAGAAACACGAACTCAAATGTCTAGGTGGGATAGAAATATCCAAAAGACCACATTTTTATGTTTTTCAGTTTTTGAGATTTATTTTAGCTACAGAGTGAAATATGAACAATAATACAATGGGTTTGGTATCTGAAATTACTACTTACAACTAAAAAGAGTTTCCAAGTAGAAAATCATGAACACACACTACTTTTATGCTAATCTATCTCTTCACCTACAACACATTCTTGGGAATCATCAATACACACTACTGCTACGTTTCTCTATCTCTTCACCTGCAACACATTCTTCTTCATTTTCACTGTGAAAAAAATATTTTCATCATCATGTGTTGTGTGATATAAGGATAGTGTTTTTACCATTCTTTAGTAGAAGGAATGTTCATTATTTTTTTTATGTTTTAGACCATCATCTACTATTATATATGCTTTTGTGTGTTATTTGTAAGACTGTTGTGCATTGGAACTTTTGTTCGGATTTTTTTTTAATTATTTTAATTTAATTTAAAATTGCAAAAGATAATGTTTTGCCCCTATTTTTCTCTCCTTAAGAGTGTGTCGGTGTTTTATTTATAGTAATTTTTATGATATTTTATTATTTTATTTATTAGATTATGTTATTTTGTTGTTTGGGTATTTATGTTTGTTGTTTCACGGTTCTGGAACTTATTTGCTCAAGTACAAAATTTGGTCCAATTTAACTTCTGTTATTTTTTTAAAAAATAGTTTGAGTAACAAAGTTATGAACCTACTAATATGATTTAAAAAAACAATTGGATCCAATTTGATCCAGTTCTGATTTTTGAGTAACTTTGTATATTTGACTAAAAAGGTAGATAATTCGAATTTTTGGATTAAATATTTGGTAATTTATGTTGTTCGGATAAAAAAAACCAAGTTAAAAAAAATCAAATAATGGTTTATAATAATGTTTTAAGGATACTTTGTTATCTAAGACTAAATACTCTATAGGTAATATTTTTAAGTTAGAAGTTATATTTTACATATTCCGGTATCTATTTTGTTTTCGTAGATTCAATTTGTTTGGTTCTGAATATATATGAACTTTTTGGCTATTTGAATTTTTTGGGTTTGGTCTGATTAAGGTCAACGATTAATTTTTTAAGCTCACACCATACCAAATGTATTTCAGCTATCACTATAGACATGGACCACTTAGGTGTGTGGCGGAAAGTGAGGCCTTCCAAGACACAATAATATTAGAAGTTTACTTAGTTTGATTGATATATATGCCAAACCATATTCATATCGACTGAATGTTACTTTTAAGAAACTGCGATATATAAATATGGTTTGGTATATATATCGATCAAACCAACTAAACTAAGTAGTTAAAAGTAGTATTATAATTATATATAAATTATACAATATAAAATAATTTGCTATATGATATGATCTTCAAAGTTAAATATTTATGTTATTAAATTAATATTTTGTGTGATTAAAGTTATTTTTCATCTTTTATCAAATTAAACAGAACATAGTTTACTTTTTCGTTAATAAATACTTGGGCTAATATCTACACTTTCTTTTGCTACAATAAATATGTTGTATAACACTACTGTTTTTAACGACCATAAAGCTTTATCATCCAAATAACTCTCATATTTGCTAATAAAGAAAGTATACATATAATATCCCGAGTTTTGTAGCTATCAAGATTGACTATGATTTTTTATTAGAGAGTTTACATGCGTTTTAATTTGCAGACGACGTTTTCTAGTCAGAATAAATATATACACATATTTTCTGAAAAATAATAATTATTATGTTCGCATAAGATGTGTCCTCCTTCATCGATCCATTATACTTATTTGTTATTTTCGTCCCTACGAAAGGCATTCAGCATTATACAATATATCGTTATAGTCTTCTTTAAACAATTAGTTGATTTTAAGACGACAGTGTATGAGAAGCCACTGGGTATCAACGGACTGTATGATCTATAGTAATTTAAGGCCCATAGATTTGATGAAAGCTCAATTGATAAAGACGAAACTTTGATTTAACGCTGAGTTTGAAAGGGGAAGGACATGTGTCAATCAGTGAGAAAGTGATTTAGTGACATGGCACTCCCAGGAGAGAATGAACTATACTTTATATATATAGATTGCTTCCAAAAACAATTGGAGTATACTTGCTCCAAAACTATTGAAATATTTATGAAACTTTTTGTAGCGATATACTTATTTTCTTATAGTGGAAAGAAGAGGTAAACGAAGATTTATGATAAGTGATGATTTTAATTGATAATGGATAAATAAATTCAAAGAATTTTTTGAACAGTGGTATAAGTAATCCTCAAATCAGAACAAGACCACTATATACATTGACCCTCTTGCAGGGTCAATGAAACAATATATTGGGGTTGATGTTTTATTTATAATTTTTGTGTGTATAAAACTTCAAACTTATCTGATTAAAAAATGTATTCTCATTTCAACAATCACATTGTTAATTCAGGTTCATCCATATAAAATGAGTTTTAGCTACAACCGACGAATTTTGAAATGAACAAAACTTGAACAAAATAAAGCTTGTGCTTCGATTTTGATGCCACTAACCATTTGATTCTACAAGATATGAATCTAGAGGATACCTAAATAAAACACTATAAGTTTCATATTAGTTTACATTGTATGTATACAAATACACTATTATATACTCAAATGTAGCTTAATTTCTATTTTTGAATCAAATGTTAACTTAATTAGTTTATTTTCCCAAATAACGGTTTATTTGAATGGCTATAAAAATCAAGAAATAAATTATTATTTACCTCTCCAAATTGTAATGAGCGATTTGAAATGAACGGGAATATGAGATTAAGATAACAACTAAACAATTATTATTTTTACTAAAAAGAAGTAAACACATATCCTATAAAACTATCGTTACAATCTATACTAATAAAGTTAACATATCTGCCCCCACAATCGGCCACGTCACTTTTTGGATATGGGGTTTTGCGACACGTGTCAAACTCTGATTGGTTGTATCTCTCAATTTTTTTTTGCTTCTCCGGCAAATATTTTGGCGAACTGGGCTTGCCAAAAAACGAAGCCCAACTCAAAGTTTTGGATTTGGCCCGTACGAGAATATGTTTCTTCTTCCTCGTCTATTCTCCTAGCCTACTCCAGATTAAGGAGGAAAAACTGCAACAAACCTACAGGGGAAAACAGACCGTACACCGGAAGGTAATCGTTCCCCAAAACCAATTACCAAATATAATTCACGAGCCCTACCACCGCCGGAGATACGAAAAAAATTACTACCAAACAAAATCCGACGCCGAACTCGAACTGCTTCTGAACAACCAGGCTGTTGTCGAGGCCTTATTCTAATGATCAAACACATAGTTACTCTCCAAAAGTTTGGGCTCAAATCAGACTAATAATAATCATAAA